ATTTGCAGTTTGGAGGGCAGTAAAACTCCTTAGTTGAGACGTGTTTTTACCACACACACTGGTGTAACATCAGGGGTCGCAATGGTGACCCTGCTCCAGGGGGCCCGTGCAGCCTCCCTGTAACATTGTTTTGCACTTGAACAGGAGGGACTATCCTCTCCATTTTCCTCCTGCAACCGCTGAGAGCCAGCTTATCCTTCTCTCCCTCCTGCTGGCATTCAGCAGTTGCAGGAGGAAAATGTTCATTTTGCTATTCAAAATACAAAAAATTCTAAATTTAAACCATTTCATTTCATTGTGGCCCCCGACCAGTTACCAAACCACTTAAGTGGCTCTCGCTCTTCAAAAGGTTGAGCACCCTTGCCATACACCATCCCTACCCCCCTGGTGCCCGCTGTACTAACCTCCGGGTATGCTGAGCTGTCAGTGCCCACGCAGTCTGTCCAGCAGATCCCCGCTCTACTCTGTACAGCACTTTCGGGATGGACCACAGCAACTGCACAGTGATACTCTGGTCCATCCCAGAAGCACTGCACAAAGAAGAGGGTGAAGTAGGGGGTATCCCAGATCCCTGGACTGCTGGACCAGCTACGTGGACACTTACATCTTAGCATCCACGGGGGTAAGTACAGAGCAGGGGGAAGCTTGTACATTTTTTCGGGAAAAGGTGAACATTTTAAGCTGCAAAGGCAGTGGACGAGGGGTGTTCACATGCTGCAGCCATGATGCTTTGCTTTGCACCCACAGCCAAAATGATCATCCAAAGATGACCTATTTAATTGTGCAATGCACAAGGTTAAAGTATATTGGTACAGCATTACATCTGATTTTTGGGACCTTGTGGTGCATTGCCAGTACATTCATTTGAAACGGCTACCTTAATGTACTGCACAGGTGAGCATAGGTCCTTAAAGTTCACCTTTTGAAGAAAAAGATAAAATGCACATTTTTGGAGGTAAAAAAAAAAAAAAGTGCATTTTTTTTATATCGGGCCTGAAAGGCATTGCACCTGCAATCAGCTGATCACAGGTGCAATCTCAGGCTCCTGCAGACTCTCTGCATAGCTGTCTGCCTGTACCTCGTACAGGCAGTCAGTTACTTGAAAGCAATAAGATCAATGGACTACAAGAGCACTCACCAACACCCTTGTATTTCATTGGGAACTACAAGTCATCAGCCGCAATGGATGATGGCACTTGTAGGCATTCATTTACAGAAAACTGTGAATAAATGACAAGGCTGTGTGGACGGAGCCCTGTATGGCCACATTATGTTCAAATTGTGACCGGGTGCGGGGAGAGGATTTCCCACCCGCTGTTACAGGGGAGGGAGGGAACAGGGGAAGAGGCTGCAGCTGCTGGAACATGTTACATGTTCTACTCTAAACATGTGTCAAGTTCCAAAAGCTGAACTTATCATTTGAAGCTAGCTGGGAACATTGATAACTAAAAAGCTGCTTTTAATGGGGCATAATGTACTGTAGATACAGAAGACCACAAAAACTATGGGAAGCCCATCGTTGTGCAGGTTCTATAGGTGTGCATCACTGGTGGTATAGGAGACTCATTTATCAACCTCAAGGAAAAGGACTCTGCAGCTTTCAAAGTTTTCTTTTTTTTTTCAATTAAAGTGAATGTATAGTGGTCATTTATTTATTTCCTTCTTTATTTAGAACTTTTGTTGACGTTTTTCACCTAGGGATCCTTCCAGTGACTGACTTTCTTGGAGTCCATTGGCGGACACAGGAAGTCTTTAACTTTATACTGCCACCTGCTGGATTGGACACTGACAAAGATAAAAAACCCAGTAAGCTAGCATAGGATAACACCTACTACTATCTGTGGCAAAGCAGTACAGATCAAGCCGCCAGTTCAGATACTTGCCCTGCAGAAGTGATGGAGTAGAGACAGGTCTCTAATGGGTGCAAACAGCGTTTCCGAAATACAAAAAGAACCAGATTTAAATGCCATGGGGTCACAGGGAAGAGCTATGCGGGACATACCCTGGACAAAGGTATCAAAGAATGAGGCCAACAGCCTCTGAAACAGAAAAGGAAGGGCAGAAACCTGACCCTTAATAATTCCTAAGGGCCAAATATTGGTCCAGATAGCTTAATGTTTAGTACTCCTGCCTCACTGCACTGCGGCCCCTGGATTGAATCCTGGTAAGGAAATATTTGAGTTTGCATGGATTTCCACCCACACTTCGAATATATACTGGTAGGTTATTTGGCCCTAGTATGTATGCATGTAAGACAGTGACTTTAGACTACAAGCACAGCAAGTAAAGCACTGCATAAAATGCCAGCGCTTTATAAATATTTACCTGTAGTAACTAATATCTCATGATAAACCTTGCAGGAAGATGAATTCCTAGCTTTTAGCATTGTAGAAAAGCACAGAATCAGAAATGCCCCTGTCCCTCAGAACCTGGTCTTCAACAGCCATGCCATTAAAGGAAGATGACAAATTAGTCCTTGGGACAGAAGATGTTGATGATCCAGCAGAGCACACATAAAGCTTCTGCCAGGAATAGTACATAGGCCAGGAAACCTTTCATCTCAATCCTGCGACACACACAAGGAAGAAGTTTCAAGGGAGGAAAGACATAGATCAGGGTATACTTTTCCCATGGAGCCACCAGAGGATCAAATGCTTGAGCTAGAGGATACCTATACCTAAAAACAAACCTGTCCAGTTTGTTGTGGAACCTGGAGGCTAGGAGAATCAAATTTTGCATCCCCCACCTACAACACAGGTCCAGGAATACCTCCAATTGTAGGGACCATTCCCTAATGTCCAGGCACTGTCAGCTAAGAATCTACCTGCCAATTGTCCACGTCTAGATTGTACAAAGCAGACAAGGCTGGAACATGAAGTTCTCCCCAGAACAGGAACCAATCTATCTCTTTATGCTATGTGAAGCCTTCTGGTTCCTCCCTGATTAAAATACACCACCACCATCTGGATCAGATGACCTTCCAGTAATATGGTCCAGTGCTGCAAAGAGACCTAAGTTCCAGGATGTTGATTGGGAGATGTGAATCATACACAGGGCACCTGTCAGACATGGTTTGACAATGTATATCACTGCCAGAATCAGGTAAAGGGGCCCCCCCACCGGAGACAGTAAAAGAAGCCATGAAATGGCAAGACCCACATTAGGAATGGACCACTTTTGCACAAAATCCCCACCAGATGGATGCCACGGATATGCCCTCTGCGATCAGAGTAAGCAAATAACTGGGTGATTTTGGCTATAAAGTCTTACATAACTGTATTAAAGACCTCAGAAGAAGAGGCCAGAAACCCAGTCACACCCAACAAAGCTAAAGAGGACTCTGAGGATGGGAAAGATTAAGAGCAGAAGGTAACATGATTCCAGGCTGCAGACATCAGCACAGTCACTTGGTTTGTTGCATGCAGCCCCAGAGCCATAGACAGAAAGTGAGCAGGGGGTAACCAGTACAATGGGACTGTTTCCTCCATGTTTAGAATCAGACATATTGCAAGCTTGTAGCAGTAAAGCAATATTTAGGCTCAAAGTAAGAAGCAAGGCCTAAGGCAGGGGTGTTCAAACTATGCCCTCCAGCTGTTGAAGTACTACAAGTCCCATCATGCCTCTGCCTCTGGGTGTCTTGCCTGTGGATGTCAGAGTCTTGAAGGCCTCATGGGAATTGCAGTTCCTCAACACCTGGAGGGCCATAGTTTGGACACCACTGGCCTAAGGAAACCCTGACAGCTGGTAGCAGGGTTGGATGGCCAGAGGTAAACAAAGTTACTATAGGCGGGCAGCAGGAACAGAAAGAAGATCGAAGTTCCATGTGGCTCTTTGCAAGCAGGAGCAGCAGCTGAAGGAATACGATTCCTCCATGCTGTATGGTGGGAAAAAGTGCCAGAGTATGCAAAAATGCACCTAGCATATGACATCAACACACTGTTAACCCCTTGCAATTCAAAACCAGCAGGGACGAGCATAAAGGCAATCAGCAACCTATGTAAATAAGGTAGCTCCTAAGGCTCAACTCAACTAGTCCCATTTAAGAGTCCTCAGAGACAGGACAAGCACTCAGGCAATGCCAGCAGTTCTGGACTTCAAAATTTAGTTTCATAGCTAACTTTTTTTTACCTGAACGTGAAAGTGCCCCATGTGGAACACAATTTCAGAAGGTCATGTCCAAGCTGTCCCCTCATCCAGTCCAGCAGAGTCCAGGGGCAGCACTTCAAAAGCCAGGCTAAAGGTGACCCTATTGGATAACTGCAATACAGAGACAAAGCTCCAACAGTGAGACAGAAGAGTCCTAATTGAAGAAAAAAAAAAATTCAAAGTGGAAATAAGTGAAAAAAAAAAAGTTATGCAGTATACACAGCAGACCTGAATAAAGGACACTAGGAAAAACCGGAGGCATGCTGACAGTAGGTTATCCTCCTACAGTTTTTGTCTGTCATCCTCTTGTAGGCAGAATCATAACCCAAAGGTTAACAACTTTCTGTGATTCTCAATGGTTGAGGAAAAAAAAAGTCAAAAAAAAATAGGTTGCCTTGCTGAGCTTAGTACACAAATCCACTCTGCAACAATGGTAGATGCTGCACTCTCCATTATTCTGATACCCCTAAAAACCTGAGCAAATCATAAACCGGTGTAAGGAGATTTACACAGTCACTTTTCACAGTGTGTAGGATCAGCTAACATAAGTTGTCCAACAATGTAGAACAGATAGAATGTTGCAGAGCAGGAACTGTTGTTTACTTAACTTTATATATATTCGCTGATTCTGCAAACTGACCTGAATCAGCAAAAGTTAAAACAGTAATACAGCTTTCCTTTCGGCCATTTTCTCCCCATGGAGGGAATAAGTCGCCATGGCCCCCAGCAGAAATGGAATGATCTTGAAGCCCCACTTCCACAAGGACTGGCAGAGATGAGTGGCCACTTGGTTCAACCAGCCCGCCAGGAAGATCCGCAGGCGAAAGGCACGTCAGGCCAAGGCACGACATGGCATGGCCCCCAGCAGAAATGGGAATGATCTTGAAGCCCCACTTCCACAAGGACTGGCAGAGACGAGTGGCTACTTGGTTTAACCAGCCCGCCAGGAAGATCCGCAGGCAAAAGGCACGCCAGGCCAAGGCACAACAGATCGCCCCCAGATCTGTGGCAGGACCCCTCAGGCCAGTGGTGAGATGTCCAACCGTCAGATATCACACGAAGAATCGAGCTGGAAGAGGCTTCACCTTGGAGGAGCTTAAGGCCGCCAGCATCAACAAGAAGGTTGCTTGCACCATCGGCATCTCTGTGGACCCTCGCCGTCGCAACAGGTCAACGGAGTCCCTGCAGACCAACGTGCAAAGGCTGAAGGAGTACCGCTCCAAACTGATCATCTTCCCACACAAACCCTCCGCTCCGAAGAAGGGAGACAGCTCTCCTGAAGAGTTGAAGATGGCCACCCAACTGAAGGGCCCAGTCATGCCAATCCGCCAGACTTTCAAGAAAGAAAAGGCGAGAGTCATCTCCGAGGACGAGAAGAACTTCAAAGCCTTCGCCAGTCTGCGTATGGCACGCGCCAACGCACGCCTCTTCGGCATCCGAGCCAAGAGAGCCAAGGAAGCCGCAGAGCAGAAAGTGAGAAGAAAAAGTAAAACTAATCCTGCAACTGTTAATAAACAAAAAGTTGTAAAAAAAAAAAAAAAAAAAAAAAAAAAACAGTAATACATATAGTAGGATCAATTCATTAAATGCTAGCTCCACCTTTCCAATCATGTTTCATGTTACACCCATATTTACGATGTAACATACACCAAGGTCAAAGCCTACAGCTCCCGTCCCTCAATTCACTCCCCTCTACTTTTACAGAATTTGGGAGTTCTTCTCCCACTTCTGTCAAAGCTGAATTTGACACAGCAGCGCAAAGTTCTGCTCACACAAAGGCACATCATTCATAGAGAGTTGTGAATGAAAAACGTACAAATCCCATGTGCCTCCGTTGCAGAGGAACTTGAAGTGCTCAATAGAGCCCACTGATACTTCCTTCAGCTACGTAGCTGAAGGTCCATACCTCTGTAGGTAACTGAGCTAGAGAAAGTCTGTAAGAACCAGAACATTGCATCCAAGATGTACTGATTGCAGTTGGAATGCTCTACAAGCTCAAACGCAAAAGAAATTACAAATGCACATTTTTGCAATATGGATGGAAAAGGTGGAATTTGCCTTTAACCATTAGGCACAAAGATAGGTATCTTTATTTTAGCCATGTAACTGTAAATTTTAAATCTCATTGCACGCAACTGAAATAAACGGTTTCTTTTTTTTTTCCTAGTGTGTTAGTTTTTGTGAATTGAGCCTAATGCGTATTTTACTATTTCACCTGCAGCTTCAGTGAATAGAAACAAAAATCAACAAGTACAAAAACAAGTAAACTGCTCAATAAAAGAATAAAACACAAGCCTTGTTTTTACAGGTCTGTTTATTATTCCTGTTTGTGTTGACAGTGCTCTAGAGATCTTTAACAAATATACAGAAAGCACATACGTTAAATATTACATACACTTTACATCACGACTCCACGTTTTAAACACCATGATATGAACTAAATGCAGTGAATGGAATGGTATAAACAATTACACCATAGTCCCTTGTAAACAGGATCTACGTACGAGCAGTGAGAGGAATGAAGGCTGACCACCATACGAATGAGGAATTATATTTTATAGAACCACTTGTGTCCTGTGGCATCTCAGCAACTTCAGGTTTAAATAAATCTCTTTATAAATAGACTCTTATTTTCTCAGTGGACATTTAAATATCTCATTGATTAAAAGCAACAATATCTACTGAACATTTGATTTTAAAAAGAAAAAAAGGTGTCAGAAGGTTGACTAAGGGAGAGGAGGGGGTCACCTTGGTTAGAGACATGAGAAGCAAGCACAGGGTTAAGGAGGAAGTGTATCACTGTACTTCAAACTCATTTCTGCTCCAATAACACAATCACACAGTTTGTTCTACTTAAATTCCAGCAAATTGCAATCAATCTTGTAGTAGACATAGGGGTAGTATTCCTGCTGGCTCAGGTTTAATCCAGGGATGTCCATGGGAGCCTAGAAAAAGAGAAGACATGTTATTGGAATCGGCTAAAGCAAGCTGGCAGGTCTAAAGACATATGAAGAACGTTAGCCAAGTTCATAAGATGAATCATTTCCTATCTCCCCCTTGTCAGATCATTTGGTATGACTGCTAAAGTCTAAAGATTCCTGTAGATGTCCCAATTGATGCAGCATAGTAGTTCTTAGTACTAGCAGATTTCAGTACGGGGTTTTGGACACATGCGTGGCTCACTGTACAGGAACAGACAGGCACACAAAGCATGTCTCTTCTGCATTAAAATTTCTGCCAATTTTAATTATTTTAGCTAAAGTTCCACTTTATATTAGTCTTTGACATGCACAGTTCACTCAGTCCAGGAGAAATGTAAGCTCATGCAAGCGTGATGACATCCATCCCGGAGGCCAGCCTGTGACAGCCCGGGTTCCTTGTAACAGGGTTGGATGATGCTGGCCATTAGTCAACAGACCGATTCGGTCATAGAGGCGGTCAGGTGCAGAGTGGAAAAGAGATGGGTTTAAGTTGTGAAGGTTTCTTTGGGTAATTGTTTGCAGCTTGGAGGGATAGGTGCTTGAAGATGAGACTGCGAAGGTGATGAGATTGTTATCAGAGAGAGGAAAGAGGGTGTTTGTGAGGTTGTAGGGAGTGCAAAGTTTGGCGAAAACAAGGTCTAATGTATTCCCATCAGAGTGAGTGGAGGACTGTGTCCATTGTGTTAAGACCAAAGATGAGGTTAGGTTGAAGAATTGGGATGTAGCCGGGTTGTTGACATTAATGAGGATGTTAAAATCTCCGAGAATGATAGTGGGTAGTTCAGAGGAGAGAAAGTAGGGTAGTCAGGCAGAGAAGTCATCAAGAAAGCGCAACACCGGTCCAGGACGCCGATAGATCACTGCAATCCTCAGAGAAATGGGAGAAAACAGCCGAATGCAGTGAGTCTCGAATGAAGGCTAGAGAGGGAGGGGTAGGGAGGACTTGAAAGGTGCTCAGTGGGGATAGAAGAAAACCAACTCCACCTCCTTTCTGACCATTGGGTCTGGGTGACTGGGTCCAGATGAGACCTCCATAGGAAAGTGCTTTGGGAGAAGCAGAATCTGATGCTTGGAGCCAGGTTTCTGTAATTGCTAGTAGGTTAAGGGAGCGGGAGACAAAAAGGTCATGGACAGAGGTGAGCTTATTACAGACAGAGCGGGCATTCCAGAGCGCACATGAAAAAGGGAGGGTGGATTTTAGGAGCACGGGGACTGATATTAAATTGAGTAGATTGCAGGTATTCCTGGAGGAAAGCGGGTGCCTGGTGTGGGGGTGAGATACTGGAGGCCCAGGGTTTCGGGAGATATCCCCAGAGGTTAGGAGAAGAAGAAGGGTAGGAAAGCAAGATGGGAGCGGGATGTATATGAGTGCACATGCCTTCCAGTTTTGGTGTTTGGGTCAGCAGGTGAGTAAAGTATCAGCAGGAGGTGATGGGAGCAGTAGTAGGGAGATGGTAGCAGTGAGGGTGAGATGTATAAACTTTGGGGTGGAGCAGAGGGATAAAGAAAGGAGATTTTGAGAACAGAGGATAGTAATATGAAAAGGAGGAGTTCAACTGCTGTTTTCAAATGCAGAAAATGCATTTTTGCGCTCCAGCAGAAAATGCACTTTTGCACTCCAGCAGTGTTTTTGTACTGAGGGAGCACTCACTGCATGCTCTTAGCATAAAGAAAGAGCTGTCACAGAGAGCAACTTAGATAGGGCTACAGATCAGTAGCTGACGGGACTGGCTTCAAGTCATGTGAACAAGGTGGTCGGCAACCACCCCCACCCCCCCCCCCCCCCCCCCCCCCCCGGCGTTCCAAACTATTTTAAAGGGCAGGAAGTGGTTAAAGCCTGATGCACTGTTAACCATTAGCCGCCCGGCCAATGGCCGTTTGGCGGCTTCAAAAGCGCATCGGCATTCCGGGTGCACGCCATTTGGCGTGCACCTGCACATACGCAGTTTGCGCTAATGCAGAGCCTCGCAGCGGCGCGATCTGTCACCCGCCGTGTACCTCGGACACGGCCGATGACAGATCTGAGTACCGGCCCCCGTTGCTGGTACCATGTGACCTGCTGTGACCAATCACAGCAGGTCACATGACAGTTGTATACAATCGATGGCTTCATTCATGCCATCCATTGTATACTAGTGCCTAGCTGTGAATGGTCACAGCTAATCACATGCACATGTCATGTGATTAGCTGTGAGCAAATCACAGCTAAGCACAAAAAAAAAAAAAAAAAAAACCTGAATGAATCGATTTCATTCAGGTAAATGCTTGCTTATAGCAAAGTAATTCTTTGCTATAAGCAAATTGTGTAAAAAAAAAAAAAAAAAATACTGATCACTTCCCCAAAGTAGTACAGTGTTACTATGGTAACATTGTACTACTTTGGTCATAGTAAATTATGAAAAAAAAGTCTTTAAAAAAATTTTAAAAAATGTAATAAAAAATTAAAAATAATAAAAAAAAAAATATATATATATATTTTTTTTTTTTTCATACTGTCACCAGTCAGTGTCCCTGTTCACCGCCATGCCAGTTATATCATGACGCTGTACTGCACTGGTGACAGTATGTAAAAAAAAAAATTGTGAAAATAATTTTTTTAATTTTTTAATTTTCCGAAAAATTATGACAAAAAAATACAACTTCAAAAAACTCGCCATTCCTCTTATGAAGTACGTCGGACTGTCTACTCTGCAAAAAGGGGTCATTTGGGGGATATCTGTACTGTTCTGACATTCTTGGACCTGAAGAAATTAGATTGGCTGTCAGTACTTCAGGATTGATCAATATTCAGATCTATACCATAGTTTGTGAACTCTATAACTTTCCTACAAACTAAAAAATACATCCTAATTTGGGTTTTTTTTTTCACCAAAGACATGTAGCAGAATACATCTCGGCCTAAATTTATGAAGAACAATTATTTATTTGTAAACTTTTGTAACAGAAACAAAGAAAAACGTGTTTTTTTTTTCAAAATTTTTGGTCTTTTTTTTAATTTAGCAAAAAATAAAAACCCCAGCGGTGATTAAATACCACCAAAAGAAAGCTCTAGTTGTGTGAAGAAAATGATAAAATTTTAGTTTGGGTACAATGTTATATGATCCGCGCAATTGTCATTCAAAGTGTGAGAGCGCTGAAACGTGAAAAATGGCCTGGGCAGGAAGGTGTAAAATTGCACGGTATTGAAACGGTTAAAAACCACCCTATTCCACCTTTACCCAGTGCATTTTGCAAAAATGGTGACTTTGCTGAAAATTTGGGGAAATGATCATTCTCAATCGCCCCTCTGCATCAGTAACCCAGAGATCCTATATGTGACATTCACAACAACCAGGTAAGCACCAAATAGCAAAAAAAAAAATGATTTTACTCACGTCAATGATGGATGCCGCACTGCTGTCCAGGTGCTTGTACAAATCATACAAGACTTCCCTCAGCTTCTTCATAGTCTTCTTGTTGGGCTGCAGGAGCATGGCTTGGAAGTTGACAGGTAATCCATATCTAGAAGCAGTGGAATTATTATGTTCCAGGGCTTACAGCTGTTCATATTGTCAACATAACCATGGTACACCCAAAATATGGGTGCAACATTTAATAGGGTACAATAGGTTGAGTTAACCCTTAAAATGTTCTTTTCTCTTCATGGGAAGTCTGCTTTTTGCAGTCGGTCCCCTATGATGGTAGGGCAGTGAGAGAGTCTCGCCCTTTATGGCAAGTGCCTGTTTTGGTATCATGCTCCGCCCACCTGCTGTAGCCAAATGTCTTCCTATACGGTTATGGGGAATTAAACAAGAGAAAGGAAATTCTGTGCCAGGGAAGGGAACAACAATATTCTGGGAAGGGAAGGATTTACTCAATGGAATTTTCATAAGATTAGATGTTAATCGACTGAACCTTTTAGCATCTACTCGACCACAATATCAATTTTAAGCAATCGAACACTTTATGAAAGTTGGTGAGCTTCCTGCACTGAACAAACTTTACCCACTGCACAGCAACAGCAAAGAAGGCCAGGGACACAATGTCATTACCTTAACACAGACTCCACAAAGACCCGGAGAGCCTTCACATGAATCCATGCAATGAAAGCTTCACTAAAATTGACTTTGAGCCACCGTACCAGAGGACCCTGGGAATAAAAAAAAAAATCTTAAAAGGTCATTTATACATACAGCAACTATAGCTGGCGTTAAAGTGTGACAATTAGGGCTTATTACAGTTCTAATGTAGGACACACCACTATCAACCGAAAAATTTCTCTAATTTTCTGTACTTTTTACAAACAAATATTTCAGCATTATGCGCACAGTAAAGCAACAATTTCAGTAATAAAATACAAATTATATCCTCTAGGGCACATGTATAGTTGCAGACATAAAACACTTGTTTTATGTATATGGTTTTGAGTGTGGGATCACTTATAAGTGATATTGCAGCAGCTCAAGCAGCGTTTTTTTCATTATATGATAGCGCACATTGTTGTTTATTTATAGTTAAAGACGGACACAGGATTTTGTGAAAAAAAAAAATCAGTGCTGGCCATACATATTGCTGTGGGTTCTGGGAATTAGAATAAGGCAAAAAAAAAAAAGTGCAAGCTAATTGAAAAACTACTAAATGTATTTTTACCTAACTTAGTGCAGTCCTTATCCCCATCCCTTCATTTCCGACACACAGTCATGGTGCCGCCACGTTAACTGAGCTGCACACGCACAGCTCAGTATACATTTTAACCACTTGCCGTCCAGCCGCTGTATATAAACGGCCGGACGGTGGCAGTCCAGGGCCGGGTTGCCGTTCATAAATGGCGCCCACCATTCTGGACTGTGCATGCTCCCTGGAAGTGCGCAGCTCCGCGATCCCGTGCTCGCTATGTCCTCCGGACACAGTGGAACACCGATCGTCATACGGGACCTCTGTGCGAGGTCCCGATCATGTGATCATTGATTGGCCAATCAGTGATCACATGCAGAGTAGTAAGCAAGATGTCACTTCTGACATCATTGCTTACTACGTGTGAAATCTGAGAATGATCAGAGGTCACATGGTACAAGGCTATTCACAACAGCCTTGTACCATGTGACAAGCTGTGACCATTCAAAACTCACACAGTAGTTCTCAATGGCTGCAAGAATGCAGCCAGAGAGAAGGAGAAATTAATGCGTTTACAGCCTTTATGGGTGTAAAAGCAATCAGTGTAAAAAAAAAAAAATCTTCATCACCCCCAAGTAGTACAGTGTCACCATGGTATGTAGAAAAAAAAACAAATAATAATATAAAAAAATAAAATAAAAATGTAATGGTTATAAACTAATTTGGGCTATTTTTTTTACTAAAAAGATAACTGAATAAATTTTGGCCAAGATTTATGATGAAATATTATTTATTTGCAAAATTTTATAAGAAAAACACTTTTTTTTTTCAAAAGTTTTTGACTTTCATTTATTGAGCAAAAAAATAAAAAATAAAAATCACAGTGGTTAATAAATACTACCAGTGGTGAATAAATACCACCAAAATAAAGCTTTATCTGTCTCAAAAAAATTCATATGGGTACAGTGTTGCATGACTGCGCAATTGTCATTCAAAGTGTGATAGTGCTGAAAACTGAAAATTGGCCTGTACAGGAAGGGGGTAAAAGCGTCCGGACTTGAAGTGGTTAAAGAAGCATGCAGCTAGCTTTAGTTTATTGCAGAGGAGACCTTGCAGTCTCTTCTGCATCAAAGAGCATGCCTGCTCGCTTTTTCTTTATTTGAAAGTTAAGTTCTGCTTTATATTCAATTGAAACATGCCCATCAGGTAGTATTCCCATACAGTTACCAGAATACAATATTTAGCACTATACTGGACCTTTAAATGTTTTGCTCCCAATACAAGCCCCATCCCTAAAATACAGAGAATGCATATTGTTCTTACAAACTGCTTCTTCTTATCAGTGGATAGTCTATTCATTTCCTCCTTGTCCGCCTTCATCTCTTCTTCATTGTATTGGAAATCACGGACGACAAACCTGAGACAAAAAGAAATGTTAGACTCCGGCAATTTAAAACTGGACTCCAGTGACTTTAATCGCTGCCCTGGATCTTACTTATTCTCCCTGGCTTTGTGTCGGAAGTCGTCTACTGCTTTCCTGAACAGAGTGACATTACACAGGTAGCTGTCCTGGTCTTCTGATAACACGCTGTGACAACAAAGGAACAGATACTGAGAACAATGTTGACAGAAGAGAATTACTCCACAGATCAGACATATTGCAGCAAACAAACGTATACAGCAAACTCAGTAACCAAGCTAAAATCAGAAACCTCTATTTGCCATAAAGCTGAAGGAGATAATAAAAGCACAAATGATTGCAGCTTTGTAATAAAACATAATTAACTGTATTTGTTAAATGCAAGCAGTACAAGTAACTGCATTTCAATTTGAATGATTATCAGTCTTTTGCAGACTACTGTGATGTTTTTACAGCAAAGCGCAGAGAGTGGGAGGGAGAAGCAGCACAAGGAGCCAGTCAGGCATGCTGTAGTTCAAGCAGCATGCTGAAATTAGGAGAGAGCAGAATAGTAAAGAGATGCGCTCATTAATATGCTACTTCTCTTTCCACTGTACAGTCACAGGCCAGAAGAGGGACCAGGCCTATTAGAAAAAAAAATGAGGTCCCCTCCCCTGCTAGACAGGGATGCGCTGTGGCGTAGAGATGTATACATTTCAGGACTGGATAAACAGAAATATAAAATGTCTGGCAGGTTGTATATGTATTTTAACCACTTCACGTCTGGCCCATGTATATAAATGGCCGGACGGGAGCAGTGCAGGGGCGGGTGGCCGTTTATAAACGTCCTCCCCGCTTCCCTGCTTGTGCGCGCTCCTTGGGAGCTGTATGGGACCTCTGTGCGAGGTCCCGATCATGTGATCACTGATTGGCCAATCAGTGATCACATGAATAGTAAGCAAGATGTCACTTCTGACATCATTGCTTACTACGTGTGAAATCTGTGAATGATCACAGAGGTCACATGGTACAGGGCTATTCACAACAGCCTTGTACCATGTGACAAGCTGTGACCAATCACAGCTCGCACAGTATTTCTCAATGGCTGCAGGAATGCAGCCAGAGAGAAGGAGAAATTATTGCTTTTACAGCCTTTATGGGTGTGAAAGCAATCAGTGTAAAAAAACAAAAAAATAAAAAACTAAATTCTTCATCACCCCCCCACAAGTAGTAGTGTCACTATGGTGACACTGTACTGCTAGGGTGACAAGATGTTAAAAAAAAAATATATAAAAAAAAAAAACAATTAAATAAATAAGAAAAATTTACATTTTTGATTATAAACGAATTTGAATTATTTTTTTTTTTTTTTACTAAAAAGATACCTGAATACATTTGGCCAAGATTTATGAAAAAAGATTATTTGCAACATTTTATAAGAAAACACTTTTTTTCAAAATGTTTTGACTTTTTCATATATATAGCTAAAAAAAAAAATCCCAGTGGTGAATAAATACCACCAAAATAAAGTATTATCTGTCTCAAACAAAATGCTAAAAAATTAATATGGGTACAGTGTTGCATGACCGCGCAATTGTCATTCAAAGTGTGATAGCACTGAAAGCTGAAAATTGGCCTGGACAGGAAGGAGGTAAAAGTGTCCGGACTTGAAGTGGTTAATCTGTGAATTTGACCTTTTGCCTGGAGTTCAGCTATGATCTGTAATCCACTGCAGCATGATTTCACAGAACTCCCCACTTGTTTGGTGTGCTTCCTCCTCACTGGTCACATTTATACATTTTCTAATTTCTAAATGTTTCGAATTTCTAAAGCAGGTCTGAATCTGGTATCTGTAGATATTGACACTTTTATAAATCAAACTGAGAAGCAACACAAAGTCTACAGTGGTGGTGTGTCTGGGAACTCCATTCCTGCCCCTTAGACCAGTAACAAAAGGGGTTCCCAAATCACCAGAGTATATGAACAACTGTGAACAGATGAAAAACTGAACCCTTGTGTTCTCTACATGGAGGAGAGGGCAGAGATGGCAAAATCCCATAAAACAGATACCCCAGAGAAATTTGTAATCTGTGACTGCCTTGCTTTACAGCTGAACTCCCTGGAATCAGCTAAATTCACAGCTGAACCACATATATAAGAATGGTTGTACCTGTACTCGGACAGCTGTGCAATCCAGGCACCCTTGCTAGACAGCACAGCCTGCCAGAGACCTCACTATGCACTTAATGAAATTAAAGCAGCATTAAACTTTTGTTGGATAAACAGGCATATAACTGAGCGCTAAAGGTGAGCTGCTGTAACACCTAAAGGCACCAACAACCTTCTGAGACCAACTGATATATTAAGGTGCAGTGCTAGAATCATAAATTCAATATAATGCAATCACTAATAAAATTATAAAGTGCAGATGCTAACAACATAAGTGATGAATCAATCATCACAGGTAAATCCATAAAGTGACAGTCACTGCAAATGCACGTTCCCAAATACAGGGAAATAGATAAAGTGACAAATTTTTGTTGCTTTTCTTTTTTTACTAAACCAAACATGGTATACTTATCTGTTCTATGTAATGGTATTGCACTGAGCAGCCTGGATCCTCCTCTTCTAGGGTCCCCCGCCAGTACTCCAGGCTCCTCCTCTTCGGCTGGTGCCCCTATGGAAAGCGGCTTTCCATGGAGGTACCCATACAGGCTTGCTCCCGAGCCGCCCTGTCCGTGTCCAATGACACAAAGCGGGTGGTTTGGCACATCATTTGACTGACAATGGCTCCCACTGCTATCAATCTGGATTGGATCGGGCTCAGGTAAGAATAAGGGGGAGCTAGGGGAGAATCTGCAGAATAGAAGGTTTTTCACCTTAATGTTTAGAATGCATTAAGGTAAAAAAAACCTTAAATTGTTACTAAACCCAGGACCCTTCACTATATCTGGTCTCCAATAGAACATGGAAGTGCAATTATTTCAGTAAATATAAACTGCTAAATACCTTTTCCCATCAGCAGTTAGAGCAGTCTTGTGACTTCTATCAGTGTCTAGCCGAGCACTGGTTAAAGCTTGCAGGAGGGGTTTTCATTTTGCTCTAGGCGGATGCAGGACCCCTGACCTGATCACATGCACTCTCCCAAGAAAAAAAACCTCTCTAGCAATACACACCAAACTGAGCATGCGCAGAGTGACTCCACACGATATGTCTTATTAAGAGATAACAGGAGGACACTGGAAGAAGTCAGGACCAAACATCCTTTTTTACACAATGCAGAGGATTAACCCCTTAGGTTCCACAGCATGCTTTACTGCATATACAGACTGATCTTACGGTTGTGGGTTTAGTAACACTTTACGGCTTTAGAACCCTTTTAATCTCCAACCTGTCCCCAAGCCTGTGACTGGACTATGAATAGCGCAGCACTGATCAGGGCATCAATCTGCTCACCGATCTAGTAAGCATGTTCAGGGTGCTGACTGACAGCAGTGTGCAAAGCAAGGATCTGATTGGCTTAGACTGTCATCCCTCCCTTTACCAGTGTAAGTGCTGCTGTAGAAGGGATTACATTAAGGGAGGATATAATCAGATATTTTTATAAATGTGTATTTTAAAGATTAAATCTGAGCATTAAAGAGTATTTTCTATATCTGCCTGGAGAGTTGACCCTTAAATTGGCGGACGTCATGCTTTGTCTATGTCCTATCCCTGAAAATGATAACATACACTCTTCCAAGTTGTGCATAATAAACCTATGCCAATGTAATAATGAATGTGATTTTCACTCACCTGCTGGAACGAGGGACGACCATCTCAGCTAGAGTTTCATACTGCTTAACCCAGTCATTGTAATTAATCCTGGAAAACACAGTGCATACACATTACAGGACCATCACATCTCCAGGCTCTGACATTACAAATTACAGCTGCCCTTTGATCATGATAATCAGTTAAGTTCTGGCACCAGTACACTCCCAAAGCCCCCGTACACACGATGAGAATATCGGACGAATGCTCATCCGTTTTTTTTTTCTGTTTTTTTTTTTGTTACTAAAGTTATGAAAATTCTTGTACGACAGAATAAAAACTTGAAAGTGATGTTTTGTATTTGTTTTGTATTTTTGGACAACATTGTACTGATGAAACGAAAATTGTATGAGAAAAATCTTTGTGCTTGTCCCTTCGAATAATTTCGGTTGAAAGCTGTGTACTAACTAATCAGATTATCGTACAATCGCTTCGAAAACGGTATTTTTTGTACGATTTTCTGACCGTGTGTACTAGCCTTTATGGACCCTAATGGAGCATTGCTTACATTTCTGAAAGAAGCCAATTGATTCAACGACACCACTAAACAATGTAATTTCCATAGTCGTGCGATTCTGTAAGACTCAAGTCGCATATGAAATTTCACTAGGGTGAACAGAGCCTAATTGGGGGCCAAGCAGAGTCAAGTATGCAGCCCACAAGTAAAGCAACCCTTTGCTTTGTCAGTAAACTATTCAGCCTATAAGAAAGTAATTGGAACACAAACTCTGTCATTCAAGACCCAGTAATTTTGCATTAGGCACAACCAGATTGCTTCTTGTCCAGCGAAAAGCAGGTGAAGTCAAGCTGTCAATCACTGCCCACATACCCGACATCTCAGCACTTCATATGACATCCATGTGTCACCGCTGTCAGCGTACATCAGCAGCTGGGGAAGCATTTAGAGATAAAGGCACAGCTGTTGACTTTTCACAAAATCTTGCATATCAGTATTTAGTGTGCTTAGGTTGCACGCTTTGAGGAAAGGAGGGGGATCTTAAAAAAAAAAAAAAAAAAAAAAAAGCTGACAAAGAGGAATATGAGAATACCACTATGTTTTTATACTCCGGGGATGGAAAGGTTCACTTAAAAGAAACAGAGAAAACCAGCTCGGAGGTAATGAACTATGACAGTTCAGCAGTGCGGTCATGACTTTATTTCTTTTTTTTGGTTCATGGGCTTTAATGAAAACGATTATGTAATTATATAATCAAACAGCTTATGGGTGAGGTGGGCTAAAAAGCCTCCCACTAAACCAGTGTGAAGCTCAACACATCCTTCTTAAAACAGATGATATATTTATGTCTCACTTCCATCACAGATCACAAAAATAGGCATTAGTCTAGGTTCACACCTAAGCGTTTTCCGCAGCGTTTTGCAGAAACGCAGTACAGTCCATTTAACATGATTTCCTATGGGACAAGTGCACATCTCCGCGTTTTCACCCAGTGCGTTTTTTGGAAAGGGTCATAGACTTTTTTTTTTTTTTTTTAAACAACAAATGCTGCATTTTTGGTTCTATAGACTTCAATAGAGACACTGCAGAAAAGCATGTAGTGGTTTTTGATGCATTTTGCGTCAGCAGCACAGTGGCTTAGTGGTTAGCATTTCCACCTGGCAGTACTAGGGTCGTTGGTTCGAATTCCAGCCACGGCACCTCCTGCCTGGAGTTTGCATGTTCTCCCTGTTCCTGCGTGGGTTTCCTCCGGGTACTCCGGTTTCCTCCCACACTCCAAAGACATGCTGGTAGGTTAATTGGATCCTGTCTAAATTGGCCCTAATATGTGTATGCATGAATGTGAGTTACGGACCTTAGATTGTACACCCCTTGAGGGTTAGGGACTGATGTGAATGTACAATATATATTTGTAAAGTGCTGCGTAAATTGACGGCGCTATATAAGTACCATAAATAAATAATCTGCCCAGCAACAAGTTGGAAAAACCCCCCGCAAAAAAGCATCAAAAATGCGGCAAAAACGCACTGCAAAAAACAGATCAAATGCAAACTGCATAGGTGTGAACTTAGCCTTAAAGCGGAAATTTTGGTGAAAAAAAAAGAAATTTGGGCTACAGCTTCAGTCACATAATTTACTTTTAATGAAGTGTGTCTCACATCATAATGACTGCTCCCAGATATGTTCCCTTTAGCGATGCCAGGTCCTCTTCTCAGTGCTCAACATTCAGTGCTGTATGGGTGACCTGCCTTGGGTCTAACATTGAAGGAGTCCATTCCTGCCCTTTCTTCCATTCACTCTTTGTAATATTTTCACAGAATGGAACATGTTCTCTGAATGTAGGAGAGGCGGATAAATGACATGATCCTTTCCCCATTCAAAGCAGGTGCTGCATTCTTTGAAAAACAACACAGGGAATGTTGTGAACGAAGGAGAGGACAGGAAAGGAAGAACAGCCGTTGGGACTCCTTCAACCCGATGCAGTTCATTCACACAGCGCCAGAACTTCAGTGCTGTTAAGAGGACCAGGCATCGCTGGAGGGAACATTTCCCAGAATGCAGAACACACCTCATTATAGGTAAATCATGTGGCTGAAGTAATTCCCAAAAAAGCTGAACTGCTTTAAGTTTTAATGACAGTGGGTGGAGGCATAAAAATAATTTCTCTATGCCCTCTTTACATTTAGGACTGCGGGTGTATAGTACAGATACTGCCTGGAATAACCAAATATACATATAATACTAAAGTGCATACAACGGTTTCAGGCTTGTTGGCCATCATCATTGCAGTACATGCCAAAAATGGCTACTATAAAGTAGTCCTTGGGGAGCAAGGAAAAAAGTATAACCAGACATATGGTGCAGTGAGTTAAAAGAAATAGGATTTTTTTTTTTTCCCCATTTACACTTATTTAGGTGGTGCATCTGTCTCCCGTCAGCTCTAAAGGTGAGTACTCACTGATCACATGATCACCGATTTCTCACAGCCGCTCTGAGCAGAGAGCGGGACTGTCAGTCACCTCTGTCTGCTCAATGCGCTGTAGAGGAGGAGGGAGCAGCTGGCTCTGGCTCTCTGCAATTTGCTGAGAGGCTGAGCCAGGTGCCGCTCCAGATTCTGGGGTGTATCCCGACTTTGAAGTCCGCTATCAGCTGAAAACCGGTCACAGGAGGAGCGTAGAACAAACTGCACTCCTATGTAATCCACAGGAAAAGTACAGCCAAGAAAAACTTTGGCTGTACTTCTCCTTTAACGAACCAAAAAATCCTCCACATAGACAGTATGAAGCATAGTAGAGACTACATGTCTTGTATCACAAATTCCAAAAAAGGGCTTATTCCCTGTTGTGGGATGTAAAAGGCATTCAAATAATTCCTTTATGTATTATAGATAATAAGATTACCTAACTAGGTCCCTCCATCTTCTCCATCCAGAACCTTGAGTGTCAACAGACAAGCAGCCTACGGACAATTTCTCCCATTTCAGCCCTTCTACTGACCATGGTTCTAAATTTACCCACCCCTGTGCCTTCACCTACATGTCTACTATAGGCTTTAAAATCTTCTGCACTTACTTAGGTACGACCACCAGAAGTGTGATCAGGTATTCGGAATCCAGCACAAAGTCATCCTTCTTCACAATCTCAGCCAGGCTTCTGGTGATTAAACTTCCACTAAATAAGGAGAAATGAAGTACAGAAAATATTTTATTGGGACTGTAAGTCATGACATGATCTTCACAGACGTAGGACTCAGGCACATGTGCATAAATACAATGATAACACCAGAGTACTTCTAGGCATTGTCAGATATAGAAAAGTCAGAGTAAAAGATATTCTTGTCCAAAAAAGAGATCGTTGAGTTTCATTAAAATATCAGTTTTGTGTGAAGTTGAGTTTTGCAGTTTTGAATGTACACCAGTTTGTATATTCAGCCATGAGGACATTGCTGAGACACGCAGATTGTAGACTGTGGCTCTGTCCCTTCCCAAAATGTCATAATGAAGGAGGCAGCTGGATAATTTTTTTGGGTTGACATACCCTTAATGTTTGCTGAGCTTACTAATAAAAGGAATCACAAACTCCCTTTTATAAATAAAATGATGAATCTCTTGTGGTGTCTTTTAGGTTACATTGCATTTACAGAAATACTGTATGTAAAGGTTTCAGGCTGCCCTCAGACTTTAGAAGGTGGTTGGGGGCCAAATCAAGATGCGACCAGTCAAGTCTTCTAAATGCTGCAAAGCATTTCATGAACCTAAATATTTCATATAAAATACTAACAAGTGCTACTTATGTTAGGGAAGAACAACAGAGGTCAGAAATAGATTTCTAAGTGAAGTGACCAATGTTCCCCTCCAAGGATGTGAGTTTGGTAATGAAGTTTAAGTTGCTGTCCCTTCTACAAATCTAGGTTTCACTTTGTCACAGCTGAACTATTGCCTTTATAGAATCCACCACAGAAGAATGACACCCCAACAGTCAGTTCTGTAAAGGCTGCTATGATACTGGGGTGGGATGATACTGGCTGGCTGGATGATACTGGGGTGGGATACTGTACAGGTGGGATCCCCAAGAAATATACCAAGACGGCACACAATACAGCTTGCCAGCAACCACACAATACTAAAATATAATTTTCAGTTGGGGTCAGGGGCGGACTGACCATTTGGAAACTCGGGCACTGCCCGAGGGCCCAGGGTCAGTAGGGGGCCCCATGAGATGCCCCTTGTACCTTTTTCATAGGCTTTTTTGAGTTTGGGCAAGGACACAGGGGTCCCATGATCCCCTATTGCCCGGGGGCCCCATGAGTTGTCAGTCCGCCCCTGGTTGGGGTTGAGCTTTAAAATAAGATTTACTTCCAGACTGCATATGAAATTGTCCATCACTGGAATAAATGCGGTCATTGCACATCCTAAAAACCATCAATATAAATAGGATAGAGGAAGTCAGGATTTCACATCAGAAAAGATCTTTGGGTCTTGGTGATTCACCTGCTCCGATGTGCTATTTTCTGGAAAATCCCATACGATGACGGATGGTCTCATTGTACACATCATGCTTGTGATTAAACCCGATATCTACACTTGGGGTTGTCCATTGCATTACAATGGCAGATGTACAGGGACAACCACAGGACACACCAGACGAATATGGCAAGTCAGAGAACACAACAGTCTACCTGTAAGTCACAAATCTGGGGTAAAACTGCACTTTTCTACAGGCAGTGAACATTTCTGAGGACTGGATGCTTTACTCACAAAATTGCTCCACACACACATTCACCAAATCACCTGCAGCCATTACCTGGGTGTGTCCTGTTCCAGATCAAGCTGTTGGCCAGTTACATTCCCTGCCTGTGAATTACAAGCAACTACTTCAAAGTACCGATATCCAAAGCAGATAGTAAAAAAAAAAAAAAAAGTCTTACGCGTTTTTTCGTTCCAGATTTTGGAGATTGCCTTTCAGATTGTTATAAGCAGCAGCTCGAGCTTTCAGATCATTGTCAATCTGTGTAACACCCTGAAAAGAAAAAAAAAAATGTTTTATCTATAGCTCTCTGTAATTAAAAAATAATAAATACTGATATAGTACTTTTTCTGCATGGATTCAACCAGAGACCAGCACATTTATTCTGTAGTATACAAGTATAGTGTATTTTCAGGCAGCCCAGAGTCCGATATATTGCAGTGTTTACCTACCTACCTTACCTCATTTGTATGATTTTCACATTTTTTTTGCCATATTTTGGATTTTGGATTAACTATATAGATTTATAGAGAAACCATTAGAGGGAGCTCTGCATCTAAGGATAAATGCACATTCAAAAATCTTTGATGATAATAAATGCACATTTTTGCTTTTTGCATTATTGGCACATTTAGTTATTTCTTTTTCTTTTTTTTTGCACTGGAGCTTGCAAAGCACTATAACCATGATCAGTGGATCATGTGTGCAATGCTCTGGATCTTGCAGACTCTTCCTTCAGCTCAGTCTGTATGACTGTATGAGGCTCAAGGAAGTGATCAATGGACTACAAGTGTGGAGACTTGAGAACGAGTCCCTCTGCCGTAGTTGTGTATGGGATTTGTAGTTCTTTCATTCCCAGATCTCTGTGAACAAATTTCACAGTTGAGCAGACAAAGCCACTTACAGCCGTGACAAATTCAAAGGTTGAGAAATGAGCGATCAAAGACCTGCTGTTTGGAGCAGAGAGCCGGGACTGTTAGTCACTGACTCTCTGTTCTGCCCCCCCAGTGCTTACTGTACCCTGGCCTGTGGAGGGGTGGGAGCGGCTGGCTCAGGCTCTGAACGGTTCACTGAGAGGCTGAGCCAGATGCTGGTCCAGGCTTCTGGGTGAATCCCAACCAAATGGTCGCAATCCTTCCTCGGCCTGGACTGGCTTTGTGACGTTTAAAGCCCACTGTCGGGTGAAAATGGGTCACAGGAGTGCAAAACAAACTGTACTCAGGTGATCCACAGGAGAATCAATTCAAATGTAAGTGCAGCACTAAAGCATAAGTGACAAATGCAATCATAGAGTGCTTATGTGAATAGAAGTGTTCATACAATAAAAATGTCTCAGATCATATAAAATCATAGAATAAAAAAAAACTCTAAAAATCTGAACATAAATAGTGAATATAAATAGTCCGTGGCACTACAGGTCATAGAACTGCCAAGGGATACGTGTGTGCTTTTTAGAAATATTAGTGATTATATATAGTCTGTGGCACTACAGGTCACAGCAATGCCCGGTGATTGTGGAACTACAAAGTGCAGCAACACCAGCTGGGATGTTCGAGAGTGCTCATGATCTAACATAGGAATCCACCACCTTATGTGGATGTGCACTCACCAGAATGCTACTTGTATAATAGCGTTAATGCTGATCCTTATGGGGGGGTCTCAGGAAACCATAAATAGGGACTGAACTTCTCCAGGGTCAGGGCTATGCAAAACCAGTAAAGGATCCTCCTAGGGGGAGAAGCTCACCACAGGAGCCGAAAGGTATGGCAATATAGTGTAGTGTTTATTTTAAATCGTTAAAAATAATCCACATGGATACAGCAAAGAGTTAAATGCATAAAAGCATACCAAGATGGCCGCCGCTCCAAACTCAAGCCACGGCGGCGTGACGTCAGCACGTAAGGCTCATCTTGTGTTAGATCCACAGGAAAATACAGCCAAATAAGCTCCATTCCTAAAATCTCTTACCTATTAGCCAAACCGCATTAATTAGTCTTAGATGTCCATAGGCTTCTATATATGCTAGATAAGTGATGCGCCAAGGTTCTCTCTCTCACACTGCTGTGAGAACTGGCTGCTGGGTGAAAAGGCTGACTGGTGACAGAACACCAAAATGTTACATGGGTTGGTTGTTTTTTTTTTTTGGAGATCCCATTAGAAGCACCCTTTTAGCCAGGAGGATCTGAACATAGGTAGGGTTAGTGACTCGGATTTTTATGCTATGAACTTGCTGTACAAAGCCTTTCTACATTGAGACTGTCTGCTTGCTGCCTTGCTAAAGACAAACATGCGTGTACTGCTCCTGGGTGTCCCCGTCATATACATGATTTGCTGCTGTATTACCAGTTGAACCTTCCTTACAATAAATACATTTTTAGGACTTTTCTTTAACTATACATTCCTTTTTAGACGCAAGCCTTTCCAAATAAACACTTTAAATGCACAGTTTATATATGGCAATTTCCCACACCCATCATGTGCTGCTCTATACAATGGGCTTAATTGTGTATCTGAAAAGTGCAGCATTTAACTGACCACCAGACTGACCACCAGACTGTGACCCTCATAGGACTGAAATTCACACAGCTCCTAAACAAGCTCCTTTTCTATGACAGTATTTTCCTTACCCTGGGTACAGAAAATGATATTTAAGGCATTGAATCTTACTTTAGCGATTATTTCAGCAATGTTCTTCAATGATTGCTTAATTGGGTACTTTGCCATGTCCCATTGGAACCGTGTGACGTACGTGACTAAGTCCACTGAAAGGAAAATGGAGACAGCAGTGAGAGATAGTATGGCATAGACACGTGCTCCTGATTCACGCACAAACGTATAACAGGGATTACATTTATAATAGTTTACACTCTTAAAAAGTGTTACTAAACCCAGGACCCTGCATTCATGATATCTGGTCTCCCACAGTACACACAGCATGGAAGTGCACTTAGTTTAGTAAATATAAAGTGCTAAATACGTTTTCTCATCAGCAGTTAGAGCAGTCTTGTGACTTCTATCAGTGTCCAGCCGAGCACTGGTTAAAGCTTGTAGGAGTTTTCATTCATCCCTTATTGTCCTATGAGGCTGCAGGACCCCTGACCCTCTGTCTGGACAGTGCCGATTGGCCCTGAGTTGATCACATGCACTCTCCCATGAAAATAAAATAGAAAAAAAACTCTCTAGCAATTTACACCAAACTGAGCATGTGCAGCTTGCCGCCAAGATGCACTGGGGACTGTGGGAGAAGGAAAGAATCAGAGAAGGCAGGATAAAACATCCTTTTTACACACTGTAGATGATTAACCCCTTAGGTTCCACAGTGAGTATAAGCATGCTTTTTTGCATATACATTCTTATTTTATTGTTGTGGGTTTAGTAACACTTTAAAGGGCATTAATTCTATCACGGGACATCTGCCATCTTCTGTTCCCTCAACAAGTAGAGCTACTATGTTGAAAGAGGTCTTTACTGTATAATCACAGTTATTTGACTGCTCCTTCCAGAACTAGGTAGCATAACCTGTAATTTCAGACATTTCTTCGGGTCCATTGTAATCAACCATTGTACCGTACATGCATACTACCCATTCTTTTTTCAACTTCTGAGGGATAAAGAAATACAAGCTAGCTTCAAATAAGGAATATTAAATATCAAAACCATTCAGAAAAGAAGATATCAGAGGTTTTGTAGGAAGGTAATGACTGAAGGTTTGGTTGTACGGGTATGATGTGTTGCTGAAAACACAAGGATGGTGATATTCCTGGAGGTGTCTGAGACATGGAACATAATTTGGCATTTCTGGAAGACTGGTCAAATCAGTGGAGACTGCAGTTCCAACAATTCACTTAGGGCAAAAGAATCCTCTGAGAAAGTACAAGACTGGGGCACAGTGTTGGCCAGAACTAAAGGAAAAATTATGGAAGGAGCTTTTTTTTTTTTTTTTTTTTTTTTTTTTTTTTTTAGAGGATTGAAAAATGAACAAACAGTGTGGCATGGAATTGGGGAAAACAAATTCAAAATACAATTCTGGGGTGTATCACTAGAGATATCACCAGCAAGAGGAAGGAGGTACTGGTTCCCCTATATAGACTTTTAGTTATCACTAAAGGGATCACCAGCGGGAAGAGGTGGTTGTGATTTTAATATACAGATCAAGAGTTATTACTAAGGGATTCACTGGCAGGAGAAAGGAGGTCCTGATTCCTCTATATACTGTAGATCTTTAGTTATCACTAGGGGGATCACCAGTGGGAGGAAGGTGGTCCTTATTCCCCTATATAGATCTTTAGTTATTACTAGAGGAATCACCAGTGGGAGGAAGGAGGTCCTTATTCCCACATATAGATCTTTAGTTATCACAAGAGGGATCACCATTAGGAGAAAGGAGGTCCTGAATTGCTTCTAAAGATCTTTAGTTATCACTAGGGGGTTCAACAGCAGGATGAATGAGATCCTGATTCCCCTCTATAGGTCTTTAGTTATCAATACAGGTGTCACCAGCAGGAAAAAAGGAAGTCCTGATCACCCTATATAGATCTTTATCACTAGAGGGATCACCAGCAGGAGGAATGAGGTCATGATCATCCTATATAGATCTTCAGTTACTACTAGAGGGATCACCAGCGGGAGGAAGGAGGTCCTTATTCCCACATATAGATCTCTAGTTATCACAAGAGGGATCACCAGCAGGAGGAATGAGGTCACGATCATCCTATATAGATCTTTAGTTATCACTAGGGGGATCACCAGTGGGAGGAAGGTGGTCCTTATTCCCCTATATAGATCTTTAGTTATTACTAGAGGAATCACCAGTGGGAGGAAGGAGGTCCTTATTCCCACATATAGATCTTTAGTTATCACAAGAGGGATCACCATTAGGAGAAAGGAGGTCCTGAATTGCTTCTAAAGATCTTTAGTTATCACTAGGGGGTTCAACAGCAGGATGAATGAGATCCTGATTCCCCTCTATAGGTCTTTAGTTATCAATACAGGTGTCACCAGCAGGAAAAAAGGAAGTCCTGATCACCCTATATAGATCTTTATCACTAGAGGGATCACCAGCAGGAGGAATGAGGTCATGATCATCCTATATAGATCTTCAGTTACTACTAGAGGGATCACCAGCGGGAGGAAGGAGGTCCTTATTCCCACATATAGATCTCTAGTTATCACAAGAGGGATCACCAGCAGGAGGAATGAGGTCACGATCATCCTATATAGATCTTTAGTTATCACTACAGGGATCACCAGCAGGAGAAGGGAGGTCCTGATTACCCTGTATACCCTATATAGATCTTTAGCCAACACTATTTAGTCACCAGCAGGAGGAAGGAGATCCGGATTCCCCTTTATGGACCGTTAGTTAACACTAGAAGAATCACTAGTGGAGGAAGGAATTCCCGATTCCCTTATATAAAACTTTAGATCTCATTTAGAATACTGTGACCAGTTGTAGAGATCTTGCTTACTAAAAGATATTAATAAGATAGAATGAGTCCAGTGGGGAGAACAACATGATCAAAACTTAAATATATTAAAGATGTGAATAAGGTTCAGGAGGGCAGGAAAGAAAGAGGAAAAAGGAAGATCAAAAAACACAAGGACTTGACCTCAAACAAGAAGGAGGAAAGTTCAAAACTAACTAAAAATGATGCTCATCGACATGGATGGAAAATCCAGCTGTGTACAGTAGATAGATCACATCATCTTTTCAACCTTCCAATTGTATTTTTCTCCTGGACAGTAAATGGATTGACAATACATTCTATATAAAATCATTCTATGTATGGCCATCATTAGAACTACTTTTATTTTGAGGTTGTTGGCTCTGTGCTTTGGTGCACAGACCTGTGGATTGGCCAGACTGGGTTATAGTCATCTCATATCTACTCCAAAGGAGTGGGGTACATCACTCACATCTATTCAGAGAATTAGTTATTTATCATACTATCTGGACTCGCTCATGTAACTAGTTTCCTATCCATGTTTATGAGGTACAGTATCAAGTGATTTAGCAAAATCTGGATAAACTACATCCACTGGACTTCCACCATCCAATTTCTCATTCACTTCCTTATAGAAAAAATAATAAGGCTCAGTGTGTGTAGCGTAATGTAAAATGTGAGTGCGCGAGTCACAACTGGCTTTTTCCAACGTGTAAACATGATTTTTTTTGTAAAGCGTGAGGTTAGAATGGTACAATACCTCCACTGGCCAGCAGGTTTTCTTGCACCTTGTCTCTGCTGTCCTCCAACACATCAGCCATGTACTGTGCCACCTTCTTCACTGTCCTAAGTGACAAAAACAGAGGATGTGATTGGTTAGAGCAGTGTTTCTCAACCTTTTTTCAGTCAAGGCACCTTTTAAAATTATGGACAGTCTTGAGGCACCCCATTCTAAAATGTGAAAAACTATTCTAATAGATTTATATAACGCAGCAACATCCACACACATAGGACACCCCACATTAGAGGTGATTTATTATTCCAAAGCAAATACACTTTTGCACACTGGTACTGAGCAGTATTCCAGTGTTTCTCTTCTCCCTTTTATCCATCACTGAGTTAACGTGACCCCAGCACTGATGGAGAGGGGCGGGGGGGGGGGGTCAAACTAGGATGCTGTGCAGGCAGCTGACACCCTCCTTATCAACTGATGATGTCATTGGTTGTCAGGACGCCATCGGCTAGGTGGTCATAATGGTGCATAATGATAACCTGTGGCTTTGTGTAACTAAAAAGCAGGCTTGTTCCACCTGCTGGCTTGTATACAAGTTTTGGCCAATTTTTAGACATGTTGCCAAGGCACCCCTGAAGAAACCTTAAGGCACCGTGGTTGAGAAAGGCTGGGTTAGAGCACCTGGAGCTGGATGTGAAATGTATTTTGCTGAAGGTTGTCATGTACTTCAAACGAGGATCCTGTGTTCAGAGAAGAACATCAGCTGTCACTGATGATCACTTTCTAAAAATGCTAGCTGTCTGGCTGTCAGTACCTTCTGAGGCATGAATATACTGGCTGCCTAGGCATTCCAGATCTTTAACAAGACAGAGACAGTCAGGTAACTAGCATTTCAAAAGGCCAGCAAATGCAGCCTCCATATTTCTCTTAGCAGTTTTCCTTTGAAGGGTTTCTCTGCAGGTGATTTTCAGTCAGAGAATGAGGTGTTGCTCCCCATAAAAACTAATAGGATGAGATTTTCTTTTCTAAGCAGTATTAGAAAAACAGCAGCTGGAAGGTGACTGCCAATCAAGTTTATATATGGGCAGCAATGGACAATTCCATGGAAAACCATCTCCAGCTGAGAACTAAGCAGGTTTGGTGGGTTATAACAAAGTCATGCATGTAATATGGCATTCTATATTAGTAGCTATATAAAGTGGAGTTCTGCCCCCCCCCAAAAAAAAAAAAAAAAAAAAAAAAAAAAAAACGCTACAAATACTGTAGCTGCTGACTTTTAATATAAGGGCACTTACCTGTCCAGGATCCAGCACCATCCTCACTCTCAGCCAATTCTTCAATTGGCTATTGGGTGCTGGAGCTGCCATCTTGAATACAGGAAACCAGCAGTGAACCGTTGTGGCTTCGCAGCCAATTTCCTACTGCAGATGAGTGAAGCGCGCTGTGCTTTGAGAATGGGCCACAGTCTTCTGGAACCTGTGAAAAGTCCCAGAGGGCTGCGGGGGGAAGGAGGCGGGACGAACTTCCAGGTCAGGTCACCACTTCAAAACCAGGTACCTGCTAAGCCACCAAAAGGTGCCAAATGCGGCAGTGGAAAGGCGGAGGAGGCAGATAATCGGAGCTTCCACTTTTAAGTGGAACTCTGCTTTAAAGTGGTTGATAAGAAATTCCTTTCTGGTACTCATTTGCAGCACAGCCATACAGAACATTGATTCCAAGAGTAACAGCAGAATCTAACAAAAGGGAACTTTAAAATGAACCTGTGCACTGCCTAGGCTGGACAAATAAACAGGTTCACTTTAAAGCTGAGCCCATCCTCCACTACATATATAAACCTACCTTTCATTCTCCCTCTCCCCTTAACAAGGATAAGAAGTCATAAAGGCTCCAAGCTGATCTTAGGTCAGAGCTTATACATGGCCGCCAGTGTTGGTGCTTTGATGGCTAAGAAGTAGTTTTGGTGGTGTACCTAAATCCCTGGTGCCCAACCTGCAACCCTTTTGTATATGATGTGCGGCCCTCGGACGTCAGCAGTCTGTAGTGGGAACATGGATTACGGTAATCTCTTCATCTCTATTAGCTCCATGTAACATGTTTCCAGTTTTATATTGTCTTCTGCAGCATAACCCCACAAAAAATGTAGCATGCCCACACTCTTTGACCCTCATTTTCTCTATAACAGAGGTGTCAAACTTAATTTAATTGCGGTTGCATCAGCATTATGGTTGCCCTCAAAGGGCCATTTGTAACTATAAGACTAGATGTCCCCCCACCCCCCCCCCCCCCCCCCCCCCTTCTTACATCAGATGTCAAGAACCCCCTCCCCCACTACCAGAAGTTAAGAGTCCCCCACCCTCCCATTACATCTCAGTACACCCCCCCATCCTTACCTTGTGCTGCTGCAGGGAAGAAGCTAGGGGCGCTGCTGGGAAACAGAAAGTGCAGGGTCTGAAGGACCATCAGTGGAGGACTAACGTCAGCTGCCAAAGTCTGCTGAACGCTGAGACCAGGGGAGGCAGAGACAAGGGGGTGCTGCGACTGCACAGAGAGATGTGGGCAGGATCTGAAGGAGGAGCTCTTTCCTCTCTGCTGCGGACTGTTGAGACAAGGTGGGGGCAAAGACGAGGGGGGGGTGGTGAAGCTGCAGGAGAGTTATGAGGGCCACACAAAATGGCCTGGTGGGCCAGATTTGGCTCCCGAGACTTTTGTTTGACATGTGTGCCCTGTAAGGTCTACAGTTTCCAACAGTACTCTCAAGCATTACATATACTGATGTGAGACTCCTGATGTCAGGGGCCGCATTTGAGGCCCCATTTAGTTCATAAGTTGACAATCACCGGTCTAAATCAGGTGATGTTGTCACAGGGAGAAATAAACGTTTTGCTCACTACAGGAACAGGGTAAAGGAAACAAATGCTAAGACATGCAGTAGATCAAAGAGGGAGGTTTGGGTTCCTGGTTCTAGGGGGTAACACACTACTCACATCTACTAGAGATACAAAATGCTGACAGGGATCCCTTTTGCCCCCATCTACAACAATAATCAATTTTCAGCATTCTGAGTTTTCAATATCTATTCCGTGTCCCAATTATTTTTTCCTCTATTCTCACACAAATGACACATTCCTATCTCGTATGTTAAATAACTTGCAGCAAAGACATGTCAGTATAATGACAAACTGCCAGAACAGACAGACTAACTGCTGGAACACTGACAACTGATGCCCATGTATGACAGAATCAAGCTCAAAATTGTGGTTTTTGCTCTGATGCGCCATTATAGTCTTTGGGAATATATCAAACTACATGTCAACGTGATGTTATAAGGCTCATTGATAGGCAATGCAAAGTGCCTAGTGAAGCAAGGTGATGCGCATTTTGATGTGCTTCCATCAATTTCATTTGGAAACAAAGTAAGCAGAAAAAGATGAGAAATAACTCACAAGGGGCGACTTCTGCATATGCACACAATTTCATACGAAAATATCAACTCCAGCCAAAACTGGCTTAGTAGGTGTCAGACAGAACCGGAAGTGAGAAAAAATTCTCCAAACAGGGACACAAACAGAAATGAAACATTTTCTAGCAGAGCAAGGATGGTTTAGGACCTCTTTTAGATTTCTTTTCTTTCATCACAGCCTCTGGGACTTTTCTTTTCTTTTTGGATGGACTATACAGTCAGGTCCATAAATATTAGGACATGGACACAATTCTAACATTTTTGGCTCTATACACCACCACAATGGATTTGAAATGAAACGAACAAGATGTGCTTTAACTGCAGACTGTCAGCTTTAATTTGAGGGTATTTACATCCAAATCAGGTGAACGGTGTAGGAATTACAACAGTTTGCATATGTGCCTCACACTTGTTAAGGGACCAAAAGTAATGGGACAGAATAATAAACATAAATCAAACTTTCACTTTTTAATACTTGGTTGCAAATCCTTTGCAGTCAATTACAGCTGAAGTCTGGAACGCATAGACATCACCAGACGCTGGGTTTCATCCCCGGAGATGCTCTGCCAGGCCTCTACAGCAACTGTCTTCAGTTCCTGCTTGTTCTTGGGGCATTTTCCCTTCAGTTTTGTCTTCAGCAAGTGAAATGCATGCTCAATCGGATTCAGGTCAGGTGATTGACTTGGCCATTGCATAACATTCCACTTCTTTCCCTTAAAAAACTCTTTGGTTGCTTTTGCAGTCTGCTTGGGTCATTGTCCATCTGCACTGTGAAGCGGCGTCCAATGAGAAGCATATAGATGAATATGAGCAGATAATATTGCCCGAAACACTTCAAATTCATCCGGCTGCTTTTGTCAGCAGTCACATCATCAATAAATACAAGAGAACCAGTTCCATTGGCAGCCATACATGCCCACGCCATGACACTACCACCACCATGCTTCACTGATGAGGTGGTATGCTTAGGATCATGAGCAGTTCCTTTCCTTCTCCATACTCTTCTCTTCCCATCACTCTGGTACAAGTTGATCTTGGTCTCATCTGTCCATAGGATGTTCCAGAACTGGGAAGGCTTTTTTAGATGTCATTTGGCAAACTCTAATCTGGCCTTCCTGTTTTTGAGGCTCACCAATGGTTTACATCTTGTGGTGAACCCTCTGTATTCACTCTGGTGAAGTCTTCTCTTGATTGGTGACTTTGACACACATACACCTACCTCCTGAAGAGTGTTCTTGATCTGGCCAACTGTTGTGAAGGGTGTTTTCTTCACCAGGGAAAGAATTCTTCGCTCATCCACCACAGTTGTTTTCCGTGGTCTTCCGGGTCTTTTGGTGTTGCTGAGCTCACCGGTGCGTTCCTTCTTTTTAAGAATGTTCCAAACAGTTGTTTTGGCCACGCCTAATGTTTTTGCTATCTCTCTGATGGGTTTGTTTTGTGTTTTCAGCCTAATGATGGCTTGCTTCACTGATAGTGACAGCTCTTTGGATCTCATCTTGAGAGTTGACAGCAACTGATTCCAAATGCAAATAGCACACTTGAAATGAACTCTGGACCTTTTATCTGCTCATTGTAATTGGGATAATGAGGGAATAACACACACCTGGCCATGGAACAGCTGAGAAGCCAATTGTCCCATTACTTTTGGTCCCTTAACAAGTGGGAGGCACATATGCAAAACTGTTGTAATTCCTACACCGTTCACCTGATTTGGATGTAAATACCCTCAAATTAAAGCTGACAGTCTGCAGTTAAAGCACATCTTGTTTGTTTCATTTCAAATCCATTGTGGTGGTGTATAGAGCCAAAAATGTTAGAATTGTGTCCATGTCCCAATATTTATGGACCTGACTATATTTTGTTTTGTTTTTTTTTACACATTTTTTACTGTTTTCTTATGATTTGTAACTTTTTAAGCACTGCACTTTTATGTATTTGTTGTTGATTGCCTACTATCAGGGTTTTTGTGTTCAGCTGCTATATATTTTATACCTCATTATTGATTATTTATTGTGGTTCATATAAGCGCAGGTTTATATATATATATATATATATATATATATATATATATATATATATATATATATTTATTTATTTATCCAAGGTTTTATTTGTGTCCCTTGGATGGGATTTTGGATAAAGTTAGTATAAATGAGACAACCCCAAAAAGGGGGGAACTTGGGGGCAAATTTACAACTATAATATTTGTTTGAGGTACCACATCCTGAATTACGGAATATATCTGGGAGACCCAACAAAGGAAAACTAAAGAACTTTAAAAGGTACCAATTCATAACAAACTTATATAGAATCACATTTTTAATATGTATCAAAGTGTTAAACGATAAAACATCTGTTAAATGCTGTTCCTCATACATATGAGCTTCATATACAATTCACCCCAGATCCCCCCATACACATGATTAACTACATTTCATTATTTCACAATGCAAAATTCCATTGTTTGATTGAGGTAAGTACTGGGATACCAAAGGATCAACACGTTTCAACAAACTGGGGATAATGATCTCCTGAACAGCAATAACTTGATCATTACAATTTTGTATAAGTTAAAAGCACGCTGATGTTCCCAACAAGAAATATATTCACTCATCCAGCATGTTAGCCACAGAGGAGAGGCCTCGTCAACCAGCTAATCGAAGGTAATATGGACCAAAAATAGCTTCATAAAACACCCCCAATATAAAGTAAATCCTATGATGTATGCCAACATTAACATTTTCTGATGCAAATAAAAAGATGTGATTTGATATATTATAAATTGGGACCTTTAAAGTCCTTTCGTTTTTATTTGTTAGGGCTCTCACATACACGGATTAGACACAAAAAAATGATGCAACACTCTTGCTTCCGCTGTGTGATGAGACACCTAGCTAACAGGTGGGAAGCATCATTCGCTATGTGTGCTGCTAGCAATACAAGGTTATGTCAGAGCTTACGGAGCTTCAAAGAGGGCAAATTGATGGTGTTGCTTAGCTGGTGCCTCTGTGACTGAATTTGCCAATTTTTTTGCGGTGTCGCGAAGTACAGGATCAAAGGTTATGGCGGCATATACAGTTTCCAAGAAAATATCATCTGATGAGCACAAGCATGGTAGACATGGTCAACTGAACCAAGAGACAAACAATATTACATCACTGCTGCTTTAAACGCGAAACATGTCGTCACTTTAACACCTGAAAATCATGTAGTGTTGAATTTTTTTTTTTGTCTAACCCCTGTATGTTTGGATAAAGCAAGAAAGGGTTATGGCTTCTCAAGTGTTAAAGTGATTTCAAAGATTCCCTTTTTAAAATTAAAATAACAAAGCATGTTATACTTACCTGCTCTGTGTAATAGTTTTGCACACAGCAGCCCCAGTCCTCCTTTTCTCGAGTCCACCACCGCCACGCCTGGCTCCTACTCAGATAAACAGCCCGACTAAGCACCGCCCCTGCTCTTTGGTTTTGACTGACAGCAACCAATGGTGCCCCACTGCTCTCAGCCAAGCCTGTGAGAGCGGAGGGAGGAGTTGATGTACACATGCACAGCTCTGGATCAATACTAGGCTCAGGTGAGTATTTAGGGAGCTGAATACAAAAAGGTTTTTTATCTTCATGCAGAGAATGACTTAAGGTAACAAAAAAAAAACCAAAAAAAAAAACCTTTTACCTTTAAAACCATTTTATATCTGAATTTCAAACACCAAGATTATATCTGTGAATATTTTTATGTCCTTATCTTTGCAGCATGGTAAGTTTTCTTTTTCTTACGAATCAGTTCGAAAAAAAAAAAATCTGCTTTTTGATCCTTTTGATACAGCTTCTGTTCTCTCCCAATACCCATGCTACATATACAGTATGATTGACATCCACAAAATATGGCTGTGATGACACTGGAGACATAGCAGAAGCTGCATCTAAAAGCAGGGCTGAAAACAGTTTTTATGCTTACACTGCAGAGGTAAGGATGTAAAAACACATCCAAAAATATTATAATCATGGTTTCTGAAGTTCAGCTTTATATTTGATTTCATCTCTATTGTTTTTTTTGAGTGAAAATCAAAAACATCAGCAATGCATAGATTTGGCTAAAGGTCAAATGAGTACAATGTACCATGAAGTATAATGTACCATCTCTTCAGTAGATACATATTAAAGTATCCATAGAAAAAACACAATTACATTGTCACCCCACCCTTCCCACCACCACCCCCCCCTGAAAGTTTGACAGAGATTTACATTTGCAACAAGTTATTTGGACAGTGACACTGCTTTATGGGAGATCATAGAAAAAGATGGGAAGTCAAGTACTAAACTGCATCCGTTTCCTGAAGACATTTTATCCCAGAGTGTAAGCTGTAAACAATTTGTGTCCCTACAGATACGAAAATTGTAGCCAGAGTCAAGCTTGGGTATCAGAGTACTTGGGGAAGGATAAACAGGTCATCTAAGAGGAAAGTATTTAGATTCAAGAAAAAAATGAAGGATAGGATAGGATACAGGTAAGGGGGAAATAGAAAAACAGAAGAGGGGGGTGGGGGCAGGAGGTTAAAAAAACAAACAAAAAAAAAACCTAAAGATGATCACAAGGGGGGAGGCAGAGGAGGAGAAACCAAGAAGAGGAAACCTGGTGGTGCTGGACACCCACCTCCAGACCATCTGAACTCCAGTAGATGGTCAGATATAATAAACCCCATAAGTACGAGAGTACAAAGTGCCTGAAGACTGTCTAAAATGAACCCATATGGACCATGCAGTTGTAAAAGTATCCTAAGTGCCTCAATCCCAAGGGAGCATCCTTTTCAGGTGGAAGATGAAATTCATCTCACATACCCATTTCAACAGCTGAGGGGTATTTTGTTTACACCAATGTCTATAAAAAGCAGCATGTGCAGAAAATGATATGTAGGCCCTTCTTAATTTGTTCAGATTCAAATGCTATATGTGTCCCTATGAGGGAGATTGCAGGAAGAGGAAAAGAATCTTAGCAGTGGGGACACAACACTTAAAATATGACTCATTTTAACGCTTCTTTTCAAATAAAAAGTTTTAGCTTGAATTAGGCTTTAAGCTTGCAGAAATATGTGTGAGCAGGTGTACATGTAGGACAAGAGATGGGGTGAAATACACTATATTGCCAAAAGTATTGGGACCTGCCTTTACACGCACATGAACTTTAAAGGCATCCCAGTCTTAGTCCATAGGGTTCAATATTGAGTTGGCCCACCCTTTGCAGCTATAACAGCTTCAACTCTTCTGGGAAGGTTATCCACAAGGTTTAGTAGTGTGTCTATGGGAATGTTTGCCCATTCTTCCAGAAGCACATTTGTGAGGTCAGGCACTGATCTCGGAGGAGAAGGCCTGGCTCGCAATCTCGGCTCTAATTCATCCCAAAGGTGTTCTATCGGGTTTAGGTCAGGACTCTGTGCAGGTCAGTCAAGTTCCCCCACCCCAAACTTGCTCATCCATGTCTTTGTGGACCTTGCTTTGTGCACTGGTGTGCAGTCATTTTAGAACAGGAAGGGGTCTTCCTCAAACTGTTCCCACAATGTTGGGAGCATGAAATTGTCCAAAATGTCTTGGTATGCTGACGCCTTAAGAGTTCCCTTCACTGGAACTAAGGGCTAAGCCCAACCCCTGAAAGACAACCCCACACCATAATCCCCCCTCCACCAAACTTTACACTTGGCACATAGCAGCCAGACAGAGAAGTGTGACTAGTCACTCCAGAAAACACGTCTCCACTGCCCTAGAGTCCAGTGGCAGCGTGCTTTACACCATTGCATCTGATGCTTTGCATTGCACTTGGTGATGTAAGGCTTGTTGTTGTTGAGCTAATCTGAAGGCCCCACGAAGTTTGTAGGTCTTAAGCTATTGACTTTTGACAGTTGGTGTTTTCTGCGCACTGTGCACTTCAGCATGCACTGACCCTGCTCTGTCATTTTTCGTGGCCTACTACCACTTTGTGGTGAGTTGCTGTTGTTCCCAGTTGCTTCCACTTTGTTATAATACCACTAAAATTTGACCGTGAAATATTTAGTAGCAAAGAAATTTCACAGATGGACTTATTGCACAGGTGGAAGCCTATCACGGTACCGCACTTGAATTCACTGAGCTGCTGGGAGCAACTCATTCTTTCACAACTGGAACACCTGAATACAATGATTTGGAGAGCTGTCCCAATACTTTTGGCAATATAGTGTACATCCTGGCAAGAGCATGCCTGGGTTCATTAAATGTGACACCTTGAGGGAGATTACTGCTCACTTGAGGTGGAAAAATAACACATCAAGTAAGGTCCGAGTGAGGTCGTAATTTCCAAACTGCATACGTGCTGTTGGCCAGTCAATAGTCATTAGATTAGCAAGCCAGAAAACTAGAATTTTCTGAAAGAGTAATGGCTTTCTTTCAATCTGTAAGCTACCACAGTCACATGGAGATTGTGCAGCACCCAATCTGTGTGTAGGAGTCATGTCATTCCAGTTGGAGCAAAAAAAAAAAAAAAACACCAAGACTTACCCTTCCACAAATGTGTCGAGTTTAGCCAGTTCATCTGATAATCCTACTAGAACATCAAGGGTGCCAACCTGGAGATAAAAGAAAGTGGACAATAATTTCATGGTGGAACCTGTCACTGAAAAGACACTCCAAACATTCAAGCTCATATATAAGAATATACACTCACCGGCCACTTTATTAGGTACACTTGTTCCATTGCTTGGTAACACAAATTGCTAATAAGCCAATCATATGGCAGCAACTCAATGCATTTAAGCACTTAAATGTGGTGAAGAGGACTTGATGTTCAAATAGAGCATCAGAAAGGGGAAGAAAGGGGATTTAAATTACTTAGAACCCATTGGCATGGTTGTTGGTGCCAGACGGGCTGGTCTGAGTATTTCAAAAACTGCTGACCTACTGTGATTTTCATGCACAACCATCTCTAGGGTTTACAGAGAATGATGTAGGACCAAAAGCACATCCCTGCTTGGCTCGTGGACCTCGATGACCAAGCCCAAGAGTGGGATAAACACATTAGAGGGGCATTGTCTAGGGGGAGGCAAGATTGAAGCCTGTTTTGAAGTCCTAGAACTGGGCGGCTTCAGTGGATGTGCCTATTTTTCTGCTTATGGTCTATCCATTCAATCGCTACAGGCCCCTTTGGAGCTGCATCCATCATGTGTGGAATCAATTGATTGAAAATGTTTGAGCTCAGAAGCAGCAGTTTCCTACTCAGCTATTGCACTTGCCAAATAAAAATGAATGGGCTGTTGGGTTTGGCAGACAGTTACTTACCTTGAGGTCAGGAATGTTAAATTTGGAGTTGGTCGACAAATTATTGTTCTTGGTTGTAGCTGCCATCAGTTTCTCCCAGGTCTGCTGGCAGGTTTTTTCCCCCGGGGCTGAGATCAACCAGAACTCGGTCATGATTGCTGGTTAAAAGCCGATCTCGCTCAGATCTTCACTGTAAAAAAAAAAAATTGAATAATCTTAGCGATTTGCTTTAACGTTTTAAATCAAATGTAAGGTGGTTTTGTATATACTGTAGTTACTTTGTATGTGTGTACTAACAATTAAGTTTCTTCTTATAAACATTTTAGTGTAAATATGAAATATTATAGATTCTGTAGTCTCATTTTTAGACAGTTGAAAAGATTTGAGCTCATTTTCATCTGTTCTTCAGGTTATCCTTAACTGCTTTGCTGAAAAGGCCTGTGTACATAGCTCAGTGGCTCAAGCTGAATATACACACACAAGAGAATGAGTCTGAGGAAGGACTCTACCCTTTTTGCTTGCCCTGTTGACTTGGTCTCTAAAAGCTTATTCAATTGGCTATCTAGAGCACAACGTCAGACTTAAAACTGCACTCTTGGTTTTTTGGGGGTTTTTTCATTGCAGCACACTTCAATACATGGTAATTGCTCCAAAATGCTGGTGCATTGTGTAGGTATAGAATGGTACTGCAGTACACCAACGCAAGTTATTATTATACAGGATTTATATAGTGCCAACAGTTTGCGCAGCGCTTTACAAAATGAAGGCAGGCATTACAGTTACAATACAATTTGGTACAAGAGGAAACAGAGGGCCCGGCTTGTTAGAGCTTACAATCTAAAAGGAAAGATTGAGTGATACAAAAGGTAATAGCTGTGGGGGGATGAGCTGATGAAGGAAATAAATGGCGGTTTACTAGATAGAAGCAGGATAGGCTGTTTTAAAGAGAAAGGTTTTCAGGGATCGTCTACAGGTGGATAGATTAGGAGACAGCCAGACTTATTGGGGTAGTGAGTTCCATAGGATGGAAGAAGCTCGGGAGAAGTCCTGGAGGCGAGCATGGGAGGAGGTGACACGGGCACTAGAGAGCAGAAGGTCTTGGGAGGATTGAAGAGAGCGGTTTTGTTATTTTGTAACATGCAATGCTGCAATTTACCACAGCAGAGTAGTGGGAATGGGCCCTAAGAGGTATTAGAGAGGAAGAATCTGAAAAGAAATGGGTTGTGCCTCAGTTTCTCTTTAAAAACAACCTTGCTCCCTGTGAAAGTCACTTATGTACCTAGTATTACATGTTTATTAGCAAACCAAAAGAAAAAAAAAACACTAGCTTAATCTAGCAGTTTCAAAATTGTGGCTTACAAGCTGTATTTGGCCCCTTGTTTGTCTTTATCCAGCCCTTAGTGTACTATTCCTCCCACTGCCACCGATGATGAGGCACTATTCCTCCTTCTGACACCAACGATGGGGCTCTATTCCTCCCACGGACACCAATAGGGCACTAATCCATCCATTGACACCAAAGATGGAGGCATTATCCCTCCCACTGACAAATGATGGAACACTATTCCTCCCTCTGACACCAATGATGGGGCTCTATTCCTCCCACAGACACCAATAGGGCACTAATCAGTCCAATGACACCAAAGATGGAGGCATTATCCCTCCCACTGACAAATGATGGAACACTATTTCCTCCACAGACACCAACGATGGAGCACCATTTCTCCCAGTAATACCAATGATGGGGCACTAGTCCTCCTCTTATTGACCACACGTGCTATGCAATATTTTTTACTCCCAAGGACTAACAAGTCTGGGGAACGATTTACTCCCAAAGACACCGGCTTTGTGAACACTGGATTTTTAACCTTGGCTATATTTCAATTGTTATGCTGTGAAGATACTGAGTTGCCAATCATGTTCTGTTACATTTTGGTGCTATGACTGCAGCAAATTAATTAATAAATCCAATATTGGTGATAAGAAAAGTGGAGGTAAACTTTTTCTATGTTGAAGTAAATTGTTTTGCATGCGTGGGTATTGTGTCTGAGAAGAAATTCTGTACATAGCAATTCTGCAACAGATTCATATACAGGTCACAAACAGTTCCACAAATCTGTCACAAGCTGCACCATTTGTTGCACAGACATATTTATGAGTGTCTACCTCACTTATTATGAATTCAAAAGACAGTCTTCTTTTACAGCAGGGCTCGACAAATCCCAGGCGCCAGGTCGCCAGAAAATGTCTTGATGCCTGGGCCTCCGCCAATCCGCCAGCGGCAGGGTTGCCATCAGCCCATAAACAAGTAGGGGGCCTGAGCCCCCCGAGGGACCCAAACCACAGACCCCAAGCAGGGCCATCTTTAACGCAGGGCAGAGAAGACGGATTGCCAGGATGCAGAGGAGGGTGGAGTGGTAGGCAGATCCCAGGTGTGTGCAGGGAGTGGTCGGGGCCCGCTCTCAGGCAGGCTCTGGTCAGGAATGGCAGTATGTGCTGGGCTGGGCTGTGCGGAGTGGGTGAGGCCGGGGGTGCCAGCTGATGGCCCCGTGGAGGAGGAGGAAAAGGAGGAGCAAGTCAAGGTGGAGGAACAGACCCCACAGTCTTTGATGCAGCTGCTGCTGGAGATCCTGGAAAAGATGGGAAACACAGGCTAAGCAACCCTTCCTGGCACCAGATCCTCTCCACTGACACCATCTGGAGGAGCCGCTGCTCGATAGGTGGGAGCTGGGAGGACTGGTGCTTCCCAAGGTGTGTGTGTGTGTGTGTGTGACACTGCCCCCCACCTTTCCCACTGCCCCCTCCAGTGACACTTCCCCCTCCTGTCCCACTGCCCCCCTCCAGTGACACTTTCCCCTCCTGTCCCGCTGCCCACCCCTCCAGTGACACTTCCCTCTCCTGTCCCACAGCCCCCCTCCCATGACATTTCCCCCTCACAGAGTTGCCGATTGTCTGTTATGGAATTGTGTGTTAGGAAAGGGGTGGTGACGCGTTTTGGAGCATGCGCAAACAGCTCCTTCTTCAAAACCATAAAGATAAGTCGCTGTAGTGTGAACCGGGGCTTTTATTTGGGCCAGACTGTGGCCAGTGGGAGTAAACAAGCCCCAACATCAGTGAAAGTTAACAATGTCTCAGGCTTGGTGGTCAGTGGGAGTAAAACAGATAGAGCCTGTGGTCAGTAGAAGGAGGAATAGTGCCCCATCATTAGGATTAATAATGTCACATTGATATCAGTGGGAGAAATAGTGCTCCGCCGTTGGTGTCAGTGGGAGGAATAGTGCTTGGCTGTTGGTGTCAGTGGGAGCAACAGAGCCCCAAGGGCCAGAAAAAGGCAAGCAGAGGGCAGCAGTTTGGAGTCCACCACAACAGTCGATGGAATTATTATTTTGCAGTTCTAAAACCTCTATATTTGTCAGTAGTGTAGCTTGGGGACGGCCTAAAGATCAGCTGACCAGGAAACATGGAGAACCATATATCTCCCAAAAAATAAAAAATCAATATTCCCATCACACTCATTCCTGTACTGGACTATGAGGTAGATGGTTGCTGCAGCAACTGTCAGCTGGAATTATCAAAGATTAAAGTACACATTGCCAGTCCACCAATGATCTTCAAAAAACGCCAAAACGACTTTATTCAAAGTGATCGCATCACAGCGGAAGAGTGCAACGTTTCAGGGCCATGCACAACCCCTCCAACATATGCCTGATGAAGGGTCCTGTGTGGCCCTGAAAAGGTGCACTCTTCAGCTGTGATCACTTTCAATAAAATCATTTGGACATCATTTGAAGATCCCTGGTGGACTGGCAATATAAACATTGACTAAAAAAAAAAGAAAAAAGTGAAGTCTGTGTATATGGTCTAAAATATGGCCATGTTCACACTGATGAGTGTCATACATCTGAATGCATGGTTAACATGTATAACTAATATGCAACAGCCACATTTCACGTGTTAACTTTTTTTTTTTTTTAATGAAAATACAAAAAAAATCAAAACATACACACTTTAAAGAGAGAAACAGAGGTTAGAGCACCTAATACCAGAGAGTAGGAAACAGTTCTTATCTGTTCGGTATTCACTAAGAGGAACTACGCTATGCCAATAAAAGCATAAAAACCTGTTTATGAACGTTTATAAATTGTGTAGAGTAAGAGCACTTTCAGCTATGCACACCACCATTCCTCACTACTCTGACACCGACACCATATTTATAAGGAAACTACATCTATGTTTTTCTTCAGTTTTTTGGACGGTTCACATGCGTATGTTGCATTTTAGGTGTGTTTCACTTGAACGCTATAGAATGTGCATTTTCATGAAAGTGCATCAAAGATGCAGCAAGCAGGATATAACAGGGCCTTCAGAAGTTATACCTGACTGCAGATATAAAAATTAATAGCTTGAATAACTTAAATGATAAGTTCACCTTTAAGTAAAAAATAATAAATGTACATTTTTTTTGCAGGTAAAAAAATGTGCATTTATTAATTTTGTCTGCAGGAGGGGAGATCCCTCATTGGTTGCCAAAACAGGGATCAGGGGGGGAACAGGGCCGGTTAGATCGTAACATGTTACACCCTGAATATGGGTGTAACGTGTTACGGTAGGTGATCTTTTAAAGAAATCCACACACAAATGAATTGTGCTTCATCAATGTTTAATGAAAGTAGGTTTACCATTTAATGTACAAAGGAAATAAACAATTTAAAGCCGACCATATACAGATTGAAATTTGGCCAGTTCAGCAGGGCCCAGCGGAATTTCGATCCACATATGGCAACTGTCAGGTACATCCCAATCGATCAGTGCCAGCTGCACTGATCAGTGTGTTCTGATGGTGGGAAAGTCTCCCCGTTGTCAGAATACAATAAGGAAGGAATGTGTGGATGGGGAAATCTGGTGATTTTTTCTTTGTTTAACCCCGTGGTTGAACAAATAAAAAAAAACTAATGGATGGCCTACCTAACCCCTTTCTATCCTCTACTGCCCTTGAACTGAGTCTTAGCCCTGATTCACACTGATGCGGTGCGGAATTTACAGCATTTTCAGTGCAAATTCTGCACCGCATCACAATAGCACCCCGTTCATATGAACTGATAAAGGTGTGTATGTTAAGTTAACAAAAGTAAACTGAGTATGTGCAGAGTCAC